AAGGCAGTCAAATTGATCTGGGGTCAATACATACTTAAATCTCTTAACAGCTGCAGTTAGACTGATCTTGATATAATTTCCAGATACCATTGCTCTCATTCCAGCAAATGCCTGACAATCTGTGATCCACTTTCCCTCTCTGGGAAGATCTGGCCTTTAATTCTTGACCCAGTTGCTCCTTCTCTTGAACAGAGGTTCTCTTGATAGGGAATGGGAACATCCTGACCCATTCCACAGTGACTCAGTCCTGTTGTTCCCACTCAAATGTGCCTGCCAGGCTCCTTCTGACAGACGACTACCAGACAGATTCAATCTACCAAACAAGTACTGAGCTCAGAGAATGCCAGGAACCATGATGGGTGTAGGACTCAGGGAAAGATCCCTGCCAAAGAAGGGTGGCATCTATACATGATTTTGGGGTAATTTTCCCTACATCACTCTTTTCTCACCTCCAGCTATACAGAGTATCCAGCCCTGGCTCTCTACATGCAGGAACAAGCAGATCACAGAAGGCAGACACACGAAAAGTGTAGTGCACAGAAGGACTCCTGGGATCGCAAGCTCTCGATGAGAGAAGTATAACTGAGAGCAGGTCTCTTCTCAGTAGGGTGAAGTAGGCAACCCTGAGCCACATTGTTGGACCAAAATCCACCCACCCGATCTCATGTCCAATATTGTATCTGTAGGGCTAATGAAAGAAGTCTTGCTAACCCAAAGGATGACAGTTTGAACCTCCCAGCAGCTCCATGGGAAACAGATGTGGCAGTCTACTTCCATAAAGATTATAGCCTTGGAAACCATTGGGGCAATTCTACTCTGTCCTATACGGTGCCTATACGTCAGAATCCATTGGACGGCAATCTGCAGGGATAATGCAATGCTGCATGTTGGCATTCTGCTAATTTAACAGAACCATATACTCAGTATATCACTAATAACATCATCATCCTTTTTTGACCCTCAAGAGTAAGGTCAGTGAAGAAAGCTTTACACATTCAAGGGCACAGTGTAAATACAGGTGATGGCAGTATCACAGGCTTATTTTTCAACCTGTAATTGAAAGGTGTCCTTTGTTGTTAGGTGCCATGAAGTTGACTTTCAGCTCCCAGTGACCTTACGGAGCAGAAGTGCCCCAAGGTCTTCAGGAGGTCGTCAGGTCTTTCTCCTGAAGCACTGCTGGGTGAGTCAGATCACCAACCTTTCGATTAGCAGCTGCGTGCTCATCATCGAGCAGTACAGCCTTCTCCTTTTTAGATAGTGGGTATCTTAATGTGAACTCACTGTAGTTCATCTTTGGAGTTCTGAACTATATGTTGTTAGTGGTTAGGTGCCATCAAGTCATTTCTAACTCATAGAGACCCTGTGTACAGCAGAATGAAACCCCACCTGATCCCGCGCCAGCTCCATGATCCCTGCTATACTTGAGCCCATCATCGCAGCCACCGCATCAATCCATCGCGTTGAAGGCCTTCCCCTCTTTCATCAACCCTCCATCTTACCAAGCATGACATCCTTCTCCAGGGAATGGTCCCTTCTGACATGACCAAAGTAGGTGAGACGAAGTCTGGCCATTCTCACTTCCAATGAGCATTTTAGCTGCACTTCCTCCAGGACAGATCAGTTAGTTATTTTAGCTGTTGTTGTTGTTATGTGCCATTGAGTCTGACCTGACTCATAGGGACCCCTCCTTGGGTTTCTGAGGTGGTAGATTGCCCAACCTTCCTTCCGAGGAGTGGCTGGTGGGTTTGAACCGCCAGCCTTCTGGTTAGCAGTCAAGTGCCTTAGGCAGTATGCTATCAGAGCTCCTAGCTCTTTTAGCAGTCCATGGTATTTTCAGCATTCTTTGCCAGCACCACAACTCAAAAGCATCAACTCTTCTTTGGTCTTCCTTATTCATTGTCCAGCTCTCACATGCATATGAAGCGACTGAAAATATGGCTTGTGTCAGGCACACCTTAGTCCTCAAGGAGACATCTTTGCTTTTCAGCATTTGAAAGAGGTCTGTTGCAGCCGACTTGCCCAGTGCTATACATTCTCTAATGTCCTGACTGCTGCTTCCATTGGCATCGATTGTAGAACCAAGCAATGCGAAGTCTTTGACAACCTCAATCTTTTCTCCATTTATCATGATGCTGCTTATAGGTCCAGTTGTGAGGATTTTTATTTTCTTTATATTGAGATGTAATCCATACTGCAGACTGTATTCTTCAGTCTTCACCAGTAAGTGCCTCAAGTCATCCTCACTTTCAGCAAGCCAAGTTGTGTCATCTGCATACTGCAGGTTGTTAATGAGTCCTCCTCCAATCCTGATGCCAGTTCTTCTTCATAAAATCCAGCTGCTTGGATTATTTGCTTAGCACACAGATTTAATAAGTATGGGGAAAGGATACAACCCTGACACACTCCCTTCCTGATTTTAAACCATGTAGTGTCCCCTTGTTCTGTTCGAACAACAACCTCCTGATCTATGTACAGGTTCCTCATGTGTAAAGTTAAGTGTTCTGGAATTCCAATTCTTCTCAATGTTATCCACAATTTGTTATGATCCACAAATCAAATGCTTTTGCATAGTCAATAAAACACAAGTAAACATCTTTCTGGTGTTCTTTGCCTTGAGCCAAGATCCATCTGACAACAGCTATGCTATCCCTCGTTCACGTCCTCTTCTGAACCCAGCTTGTACCTCTGGAAGTTCTCTGTCAATATACTGCTGCAACCGTTTTTGAATTATCTTCAGTAAGATCTTACTTGTGGGCAATATTGATGATATTGTTCGGTAATTTCCACATTCTGTGGGATCACCTTTCTTTGGAATGGGTACAAATATGGATCTCTTTGAGTCAGTTGGCCAGTTAGCTGTTTTCCAAATCTCTTGGCATAACCGGGTGAGTGCCTCCAGTGGGGCATCTGTCCCACCCACTCACCTCCCACAAGGGATGCCTTGTTTTATACCCTTTTTTTTTTTTTTTTTAACCACTTAAAATACATATTTGTCAAGTGCACGACAGACATTTTAAAGAAGGGATTCTGTCTCCTTGGGTATTGATACTCAATAAATCTTTTGTTTTCCTGCTTCAACCTGTTGTGATCATTCGCTCTTTGGGACAGGGTGTAAGGGCCTTATTTTTCTACAACAGGAAAGAGGGAGGAAACGGGTGTGGGATATGTGATGTAAAAGAGAATTAAAGATGGTCAATGACATGAGACAAAGTATGTATGTCCTGCTGTATGGAAAGTGAATTTGCTCTGTAAATCTTCACCCAAATCACAATTAAAAAAGAGAATTAAAGAGAGGGCCCCGTGCGCTGGAGCAATGACGATAAAGTGCCATGAAATGGGATGATGTTTAGCTCCTTGCCCTTCTTCACCTTAAGCCCAAAGAAAGAAGGCACTTCTGTGCATGTGCTTTGTAATCACAACTCAAGCATCACGTTTAGCGTTGGGTTACTGCTTTGGTTTTATACCAGTACGTAATTGACTCTCTCCTCACTTGTTCACATTCTGAACACTCACTTGTGGATAAGAAGTTATCATCCCATTCGAAGTCAAAGCTAGAATCAGAATTCCACTTTTCTACACCACCCTCCCACCCACTCACCTCCCACAAGGGATGTCTTGTTTTATACCCTTCTTGTTTTTAACACTTAAAATGCATACTTGTCAAATGCACGGCAGCATTGGAATTGAGGTCTAAAGCTGTCCCTTCCTGCTCTTACTTCCTCATACTGCCGACTCGTGACGTTAGGGTGCAATAACCAGTATTTATTTTGCCCTTGAATTCAGGAGGGGCAGTGGAGCGCGAACCAGGGAGCCTAGTCTGAGATTTCCAGGAATTAACCTGCCGATGACCCTCTAACGGCTGAAAGTCTCCGTGGACATTTTTCGAGGGAGAGAAACCGACTTTCACGTTCAGGTAATGGCTTAAGTGTCCTCAAGGGAGGATGATTCTAATGAATGATTCTAATGAATCCCGCCCTCTCACCCTTTGGGGATGCCCAGGGGCCATCGGCTTCTCAACCTGGAGGGCTAGCCGCATGGTGACATAGTAGCTAGCGGCTCTGGGGACTGTGGGGGCTGGGCTCGGAACCAGCCCGGACCAGGAATGATAGTTCGGTTTCTAATCCCCCATTTCCCCAACCCCGCACCAGGAAGCGCAGCACGGCGCCGGGAGGCTCTGCGCATGCGCGGTTGTGACGGTGTTCAGTAAAGTACGTTCGCAGCTTCTCTCCCTGAGTAACATGAAGGCCGAACAGGGAGCCAGAGGAACAGACATTAAGGAACAGCGGAAGCTAGGACTCTGCGTCCTCTGCGGCCTGCCTGCAGCAGGAAAATCAACCTTCGCGCGAGCCCTCAGCCACCGGCTTCGTCAGGAGCGGGTCTGGGCCGTCGGCGTCGTCGCCTACGATGACGTCATGCCGGACGTGTTCCTGGACGAGGAGAACGCTCAGGCCTTGGTCAGTACAGAGGGGGCGGGGCGGGGCCTGTGGTCGCCCCGCCTACTTTACTGTAACAGCTGTTGAGCGCCCACGACTGCCTCGTGTGGGAGTGGGGCCCTGACAGAGGAGACAGTAGTTGGAGGAAAGGGGAGCTGGTTTAATACTGTTCTCGCACTCAGTGCGAGAATGAGGTTTATTTGGAGGCTGAGCGTCTCAGTTGACTTAGGGTAGCAGGGAGCCCGGATGGCTGTCCTGCGAGCCAAAGCCTAATATAAATTGCAGTTCTTGGGTCTTTTGTAGCCATCCCAGTGGAAACTGCTTCGGCAGGAACTGTTGAAGTACCTGGACTGCTTCTTGGTGGCTGTCATTAACGGGTGTCAGATGGCTGCCCCCCCTACTAGAACGGAAGCCATGTGGGAAGATTTTATTAGCTGCTTAAAGGATCAAGATCTGCTATCTTCTGCAGCGCTTGAGGCCCAGGCCTGCTACCTTTTAACGAAGACTGCAGTTACCAGACCTTTGATTTTGATTTTAGACGACAACTTTTATTATCAAAGCATGAGATACGAAGTCTACCAGTTGGCTCGGAAATGTAATTAAAACATAATTTTCTTATACAATCACTATGGTCTTCAGTGAGGAGTCAGTTGAATTAGATGATTTATATGGAACTACTTAATTTTAAAAGATAGGTGTTTGGTATTAGAAATGGTTTTCCCTGCTACAGCTGGGATAATTTGTTAGTATGTATTATTTCACATTTTGGGAAAAGAATGCACCAGTAATTTTGTGGTTCTTAACTGTTTTCAGATTCATTAGGCTTTTGCCAGCTCTTTTTAGATTGTCCTCTTGAGACGTGTTTACAGAGGAATGGCCAGAGGCCAAGGGTACTGCCAGCCGAGACCATTCACTTGATGCGGAGGAAGATAGAAAAGCCCAACCCAGAGAAAAATGCTTGGGAACACCACAGCCTCACACTGGAGAGTTCAGCATGTCCTGAAGCCAGGTATCTGAAGCCAAGCTCTCATTCCCTGGGTGCCTCCTGTGCCGGGCACTGTGCTGAGCACTTTACCTGTGCCTTCAAACTCAGCAGCCCTTGGAGAGAGATTGTTATTTTTCCCCTATTTGTAGGTAAGACTGAAGTGAGAAAGTTCAGTTTGCCCAGGGTCACTGAGCAAGTGGCAGAGCAGAGATTTGAATCCAGGTTTCTTTGCAAAGCATGCGCTTTTAACTGTTAGGATTATACTGTGGCCCAGAGGTCAACGCAGGGAATTTAGAGGCGGACACATCTTTGATCCTCTTGCTGACCACTCCAGCTCCCATCCAGTTGAGTGTGAATCTTGGCAACCCCGTGTGTGTCAACAGAGTTACGCCGAGTTGGCTGTTTTTTCAGATCTCCAGGCCTTTCTTCCCTAGCTAAAATAGCTTTGTCCAAATATGTTGCTAAGTAGTTTTCTGATTTGTGACGAGAACTGGTACAGAATCCTAATTGTGCCTTCCAGCTCACTACACTTCCTCTGTGTGTGTCCGGCTTGTGGGCCATGGCGTCTGATGCTTTTCATTCATTCATGTCTTAAGCGTTCTAGAGCAGTGCTTTCTTCACCCGGACCCTGGCTCTTTTCAGTGTCAGATCATCTTGAAGTTGAGCTTTAACTCAATGAGCCATTGGCTTAAACTTTTTCACTGCTACCTCCTGCACTGAGTAAAATCCAAACTCTTTGTTGTGGCTCACATGCTCTCAGCCTGATGAACTCTTCAACCTTGTATCCTACCACTCTCTTCTGCTGCTTTTGAGCCAAACTGACCTTCACTGTTGCATGAACACCAAACCCTTGTCTTGCCTCGGTGTCTTTGCTGCCCCCTCTGCCCACACTGGACTGGGCAGTGTTTTCCTATACACAGGGTTGCTGTGAGTCAGAGCCACCTTGACGGCACCTAACAACTGCCCACGTATGTATGCCTGGACGGTTCCCTGCCATCTTCTCTAAAATGGCGAGTATTAGTTGAACTGCCCACTCACTTTCTATCATTATCACGTTGTTTATGCCTTCACGCACTCGTCACTGGCTAAAATTACCATTTTTTGCCTATTTAGTAATTTATTATGTGTCCCTCTCTTATTACATTGTGGGGCTTGGACGGGGTAGGGGTCTTGCTACACCTTCAGTCTGGCACATGGTTTCACATAAAGAGTTGCACAGTATTTTGCTTATAGATATATGTTTAATAAATATTTGTTAAGTGAATGAATGAATTCTTCCGAAACGTCTGTGGACCCTAAGAGGACATTGCTAACCCATATCCTGTAACAGTTTGTAAGCAGAGGCCACAGAGTCAGGACTGAGCAGCTTTCGTTAGGAAAAAGGACAGTGCCACAAGCCTGCAGTTCAGTACTTAATGAGAAGAGTGTCTACAAAAGACAAGAGCCTTGGGAAATAGTTTTTTAAACGAGGGGCATTTTGTCTAATGCTTTGAGCTTCTACATTGGGATTTTGCAAATAGATGGTAAATCCAACATCCCTTAATTTTGAAGGGTTCGTTTAGGATCCTGGATTACAGCAGTTTTAGTCCTATAGATTTGTTTAATAGTCATAAATGTGAGTTCTTAAAAAGCAAAATGTTAGACCTAAGGATTTCTTTTTTTACCCCTCTCTTATAGCCTGGAGGTGACTGATTTATTGCTTACTGCTTTACAAAACCCAGTACAAAATGTTGAGGACAATTGGGAACAGAAGGTAAGTCTCCCAGGCCATCAGTGAAACTGACGTTCTTCAGTTCTTGCTGTGACTGGCCTGGCGTCTCGTGAGTATTCAGCCTGCACTCCAAGACCCGGTGATGCCCTCCCTGGTGGCAGCTCATGTCAGCTGGCTAGAACGGATTGTTAAATTTTCAGAAACGATGGAGCTGGTGGTTGATGTCAGGTTGGTAGCTCAAAATGGGCCAGGATGGGAGGGAGTATTTACACCTCAGAAATTGGCCAACACTACACATAGGCTTTCTGTTGTTTTTCCTCAAGAGCCAGTTATTAAACATTTCCCAGCAGACCACTGCCTAGATGGAACCCAGCTTACAACTGGTCTTGTTTCATTTGGACCTTCTCTTAGGGAAGAAAAACTGGAACAGAAAAGCCATTGAAACTTTTGAGTTCCTTCCATTAAAACATCATCTACACTTTAGCCATTTCTTTTACACAACTGTGTAACTGCCCCAGTAACCATGTGTGTATTCCATAGGAAACAGACAGAATTACTTGTTCAACTAATCTCCTTCATCAAGCTGATCAGATGCTGCGGAGAATCATCTCTCAGACAATGAAGGAAGCAAAAGGTGCACTGGGTGGTTCTGTGCTGTTTGGTAACAATGAGGCTACGCTGCTAATCTTGTTCCTTTGACACAAAGTAGTTTATTAGCTTTTAGTCAGAAAGTTTAAATCGTAATGTTTTCCTTTTGTCAGAGTAAACCAGACAGTAAATGATACCACCACCAACTCAACTGTGATGATTTATACAATGCCTGGTTTGTCTGAAGTAATCAAATTAACAGATTTCCTGGTGTCATGAGAGAGTCCAGATTGATTTTATGTAAGTAATTTGAGACTCTCTTTTTTTATTAGGTGAACAAGTGCTTCCTCACAACCTGAAGCTTCTAGCAGAAGATCTTAACAAGCTCAAAGCAGAGTTTCTGGAAGACCTAAGACAAAGAAGCAATAAAAAATACCTGTGCTTTCAACAAACCATTGGGATATCAGATGTCATTTCTTTTTTTCATTATGAGAAAGATAATGTTGTACATAAGTATTTTTCAAAGCAGCATTAAAATTTCTGAATTTCCAATCAAGTGGCTATTATTGGTAAAGTTTTACAAACTAATTAAAACAACAGTTTGATACTGTTTTCTAGGCCAGCAATGTAAACTAAGACCAGCATTAAACCAAAATCGGTACATCCCCAAAGATCTATTGGCTGTAACAGAAATTACTTCAGTCAGTCACTTACCAGCTAGGACAAGGGCGGTAAAGCACCAGACCCTCACTTAGGGCTGGGTGGGCAGCACCAGAGCTAAATGGGCTTGACTGAAGAAACCAAGGGGACAAGTGTATGTGTGTAGAAGGGTTTTTAACTCATGATACAGAGCTCATGGGTAAGGCATTTTAGAATCTAAACCCATGAACCATAATACTGAGAAACTAATTTGATCCTAGTTTTCAAAAAAGAAAAATCAAGGTCATTAGAAAGTGTTATTTTTTTATTCATATATTACAAAAGCAAAGCTTCACAACATGAACTACATACTAGATATAGTTACTTTAGCATTAAACGCTTTCTGGAATCCCTAAACAATATAATGTATTTTGTAACCATAACTCAAGGTCTATGTTTTGCATACAAAATATGTTCTTTACATCAAAGTACATATTAACGAAAACAAATTCTAGAAAGCATATACCCTCTAAGACTATTTAATGAAAAAGTCTTTAGCAGGGAATTTTAAAAAATTGATACTACATCCATTTGATAAATATTTTTATACAACTTAAAGTGAAGTATATCTCTCAACATTTTTTGGTAATATTCCCTTTGTCAACCAATTCTGCAAATGAATGGCAAACACACTGCTAACAGGAAATCACACTGGAAAATACCCAATGGAATTTATCAAAGTAAAAGTCTAGCTTTCACTTGAGTTTCAAAAAGTTGCAGCAACACACTACATTAGTAAAATCTGAAATAAAATTATTCCCTGTTAAATCTCTTCACAGTTTCTTAAAAAAATATTAGTGGAGATAAATTATCTACCAACTTTAAAATCTAAACATATGTTCACTGAACAAAAATAAATTTAGTTTCAGAATATTGCCTGTTAACAGCAAAGTACTATAAATAGTGCATGTTAAACTTTTCCCAACAAATCATTTCTATAAAATATTTGATTAAAAATGAGAGAAAGATATTCAATATTTAAGGGAAGATACTAACATTCCCAGATACAGAATGTAACTCACAATCATTTAAATAAAATCCTAAATCCTTTAAAAAATACAATACCAAACAATTTTCTAAGGTAGATTTGCTTCAAAACTTTTAGTGCATTTAGAATTGTAGCCTTCAAGCATTGGCAGCTTTGGAACACCAATTGTGCTCGTTAAGTTGTAGGGAAATTAGAACATACATTCTAGTTTGTAATTATGAAAAGAAAAAAAGTTCTATGTTTAAATTAAAATGCACCTTCAAAACGTCCACTTTAGTTGTCGGAAAAAAAAAGGATCTGTCACTCTGACCCAGAATACGGAGTTAATGTGTTGGTGTTAATAAGACTTTTTCCTTTCTTTCAAGAAAATTTTACTTTTCTGTTTTAGAGTATTGCTTTTATTTGAAGAATCAAACAGAAGTGAAGAACAAAATAAGGCTTTCAAATGACAGCCACCTATTTCTTCCTGCAAAAAATAAACACTAGAGCCAGTCAGACACCTGCGGAGTGCGGCACTAAACCTCCGCTGGGCAGTGAGTGGATTAAGCCACGGTGAAACAGACTTGGAGGATTGTACATCCACAAGCCTTAGAACTGACAAAGAAGAGAGTGACAGGTGCTTGGAGAAACTGGCCTTGATGCTGTTCTTTGAACTGTGTAACAGAGCTGAGCACGGACTGGGTAGTAAACCCCAAGAAGTCACTTTAATGGCTTCCTACCAGCTGGAAGGGAAGGCCAAGGGCCCACTGAGTTGGCCCCCGGGGTTCTGTGGGTACCTACCATCACCACTTTACTTTCATTTATTAGAAGGGTAGAGGTCCCTTTTGTTTAATACGCTTCAGAGTTAGATAATCTCCTTAAGAAGCCAATTAGTAGCACTCATAAGATTTGAATCACATTAAAAACAAAATGTTTGCAAAGTACACAGAAGCCAACAGTTAGTGACAATGTATTTTATTGTTTGACCAAGCTAATTTCGAGGTGAGCTAGCTATTACACAATATAAAAACAATAGCCTCCTATTCAAAATGCTCTAGATTTATTGAACAAGTCTTACTCCGTAAACAAACATCAAGGTTAAATGCATTACATCCACTTCCACACCACTGTATCCTTTTCTACCGAGGTGACAATTCAGTTTCCACAGCTGTCACTGTAAATGAAGACTGCAGGACTGCAAAATAAGCATTACAATGAGTTCCCAGAAATTACTCAAAATGGCTAACTCTGAAGAGAACACCAGAATCCATGTGAACATGTGCTCCGATTTTTTGTAAATATTAACTCCCGTCCCATTTTTCCATGTGTTGCTATACCTGCAAAATGGGCATCAAAAGGACAGATGGCAAGAAAAGGAAGCATCAGAGATCTTTGTTCAAATGACTGGCTTTTTCTAGGGCTAACAAGATGGGTGACATTGCATTGTAACTCTTTGGTCATCAAAGAAACGGGAGGGACAACCACCTCACCTGATGTTAATAACATCACACAGAGGATTTCAAGGGTCAAACTGAAAGAAAACAGAAGGCACCTTTGTAGAAAATGCTCTCATTTTTCTAGTGCGCTCATCTGTGTGTTTAAATAAACTGGACGAAAAATATAATCCAATGAAAAGCTGGCATGTGTTTAAACTAGAAATTGAACATAGTTTAAATATGAAACCCCAATTTCTTCTGTTACAGAGAAAAATGATGTATTTTCTATGTAAAGTCTTGGGTTTCATTTCTTTTCAGGATTTTCATTTATTCGTAACTTTCACTTCGTATTTATGTTAACTTTCACTTAAAAATATCAAATTGCTTTACATTTCCCCTTGTGAAATAAATACAGAATTGCTACACTGAAACAGCTTCACTTTATCAGCTGAAATAAATCTATTGCTTCAACTTAAACTATGGGAATTGAGCAGTATTCCAATTCAGAGCACATTTAAAGGCAACTCCCCTACTACACACAGAAACAAGTGGTAACAGATTTTCTAAAGGAAAATCATCAATTCTACCATTGTGAAATATGGCAGAAATAACATCTAACTGCAATGTATAAACTGAAATAGCAAGACAATGGATGAGCTATGAAGTTTTTCTGGACCGTCGATGTGGGAAATTTCAATGAACACCTGTAAGACAATGACTCCAGTTCTCAAACATCTAGAAGGAAAATCAGACACTGATCTGTTGGGCTGTTCTAACATATAAATGGCCCTGCCTAGACTTTTATGGGAAAAAGGGGGTGGGGGAGAATTTCTTTCCACTGTCAATTTGTATCCTATAAATATAATGTATAAACCTTAACTTAGCAGACAGCTTATCGGGAGGACCTCCTCTCCTCCCACCAAACCAAACCTCACAAAACACGAAATGGCAAAAACAAAAGCATGATGTGACTGCCTTCAATCAGTGTTGGTTATGCTGCCCTCTTGCAAAATGACAGGCGAAATCATACTTGTTTTTACATTTGCATCCACATATATTACACTGAAAGGGGTTTTCGTAGCCGTGGCATCCCATGTGGATCGTGTAGAGGATATTGTCTGCGAAATACATGTCACAGTGCTGGCAGTGGTGGAGCAGCTGAGGGTCCTGGGCCGGCAGCGTCGGGACCGGAGTGCTGGGCTGGCTGTTCCCTATGCTGGGAGTGCTCGTGTGGGCACTTGGTTCACTGCTCGGCCCTGCCACTGGACTGTAGTTCCTTTGACTGTGTGAAGGCCGAGGGTCAGGGCTGGTGGGAGAGGAGCTCTGAGGAACGCTTGCTGACACAACAGAAACCACTGCTTGGGCAGAGGGCTGCTGAATCAGAAAAGGCTTTTCGTCGGGGCAGGGAACCACCTCAGGGGATGCCGGGTTCTGGTTTTCAGGTGGCAAACTGGACAACTGTCCTGCTAGGGTCGAGAGCTGATTTAAAGGGTTGTCAACCATGAGTTCTTGAGGGTCCCTCGGCAGGCCACCAGTGGGTGTGGCTTTCGCCATACTTTCGTAGGCATCAGTCTGAATATTTGGGATTTCATGGGTGAAATCGTTAAGGTAGTCTGGTTTCTGAACCACCATGGACGGTGGACTTAGGTTGATGAGTGCTCTTCTGCTATACCCCAGGTTGCTCGTTTTTTTCTGTAAAACCCCCCACATTTTCTTGCTGCTCAATGAAGACCTAGTACCTTTAATTGGTACCATTTTATGCTTGCGTCTTCGATGGTGGGACAAGTTGCTCCGGTCACTGCAGCGGAAGGAACACAGTTCACATTTGTATGGTTTCTCTCCAGTGTGGGAGCGCATATGAGCTTCCAGATGGCGCTCGTAAGCAGATGCAAATGGACATAAGTGACACCTATGAGGTTTCTCACCTGTTTAAAAAGAAAAATGGGGGAGAAACTTCAAGAGTAGTTCACTCATCAAAAGTTCCATGTCTGTCCATTCACTGGACTTAGAAATTGATCACGAAGTTTTTTGGAAATTCTAGAAGAGATGTAAAACATTTATAAAAAGAACGCTACAGTTTTCACCCACACTGAAGATTATCAGAATTTGTAAATAAACCTGCAAACTTCAATAAAGCTTATTCCCAGAGTGTCAAAAAATTTGTCTTTGACTAGCATTTGGAGAAAGAAGACACAGCACAACTCACAACAGTGTTCTAGTAAAACTCCTGACACACTGATCTTATCAAAATTGAGCCTCCGAGTTCTATGTTCACTTCCTTATACGGATTTACACACACACACCTTCCTTAGGGAAACACGCACACTCTGTCTTTCAAGTCCTAATACAAGACAGAAAGCTCAAGTCAAGATTCCTTCTCATATGTGAGTTACATATGTCCTTTCAACAGCACCACAGCCTCACCTCCACCTTCCTTTCTTCGATTACCAGAAGGGACAGTTTCAGTTAATGTTTTAGCTGACAACTGCCCCAATGTGTAAAATAAACATTTGGAAGGTAGGACTGGCATCAGTCATTTAGTAAGTACTTTGCCCACTCTGTGCCAATGTTCTGCTAGGTTCTAGGGACACAAAGATGACCCCAACACGTCCCTGGCCTTAAGAAGCCCTCAGGCCACCACCAACACTGCATAGGAACTAGTGGGATGTGGGAGCCCAGGGTGCCAGGGAGCATGTAGTTGTGACACTGGCCTTGGTCTTGGCTGCAGTTCGGGTTTCTCAGAAGGGATGGCTTTGGTGAAACCTGAGGATTAGACAGTCTACAACTACCCTACTCCTCACTTACTGACATGGGTAGGTTCCAAAGACCAGGTTATGATGCAGAAATGTAGGCTAAGTACATCATGACTGCCAAATCGCACCATTATGGAGCTGTCAAACCACTGAGAATCATGGCCCAGCCAAGTTGACACATAACCTTAACCATCACAGCCAGCATTACTGTCACTCTGCACCTCAGTGGTAGTAAATACCAGATGTACATTGTTAGCATGCAAAATAGATAGTAAGTAGATTTTTCACTATTGTCATAAATGTGAAATGTTGGGTACCAAGACTGTTAATAAGTGAAGAGCAGGTGTGTACAGAAACATTTCCTCTTTTTTGCAAGTGAAATGTACTTAGTAAGGACAAAGAACATTTATCACCTCTCACTGCTGCCATCATTAAGCTACCCAAGCTGAGAAGCAGACAGCTGTTGAGAGATGATGTGGCCCAAGAAGGAAGCTGGCTAAGGAAGGGGAAGTTCCACAGTGGCCTCACTTCCTATCTGTGTGTCTGCTGTTATGCTACCGTTCTGTCAAACTGCAGTGCCTTCCCTGTTTATTCGCATCTTCGACCAACCTGCCCTGCTGGCCTCTCCGCCACGTCCTCGTTACCTGTGTGGATTCTAATGTGCTCGATCAGCCGGGCCGTCCCTTTGCTGGCATAGTTGCAGTACCGACACTTGAGCTTCCCATCAAAGGTCCTTTCAAACCCGTCGACTAACATTCCTGAGTTTTCATCCAGGGAAACTTCAACAGACGGGTGATCGAGTCCATTCTGATCACCATCTGTTCCAGCTATAACCAAAGGACAGCAAAAGAAATTACGCATCTCAGAATCAACTTGAGCAGCAGGAAACTTGATAAACTGACAATTCACTTCCCACAAACTGAACCTCAAACTGTAACGGCGACTTTCTAAACCGGGGCTATTTGGTACAAAAGCACTTTCATGTTGCTTTCGAGAACCTTTTAATAGGGGATCTCAAATGACTTACAGAGAACTGTATCAGCCTCAACATGCTTCTGAAGGAGAGTAGGGTATGACCCTGATTTGACAGGTGAGGAAACAGGTAGAAAGTACAGAGATTTACTTAAAGTGATGGCTTAATCCCACACAGGTGTTTAAGATCCTAGCCATGCCTTCAAACATTATAATAATCTCAAAAAAATTAACCTAATTTCCTTTCATTTCCAGGGATTAATGTTTAGTTCTGCAGGGCTCCACTCAGTTAGGTTGCTGAGTTGCACTGAGGATCTTAGCATTTTTACTAAACACATCAAGGAAAACATTGTATCGCTACCTCTAAATTTAGGGGCGAGAATCTCAGAGCTGGAAGATATCTGTTTGCCCCTTTACCTTCAATCTAATCCAACTACTTCTCTGTACAGATACAGAAAGTAAGGGGACAGGGGCTCATCATCAGGAAAACCAGAAAACAGTGGGGGCCAGATCCTCATCTTTTGACTCCAGTCCAGGAATCTGTTAGTGTGCTGGAGATATTTTTATTCCTACAGCTTCATGGGAAAAGGACTTCCACTCCCTTCCCAGGACGTAGTGGTGCTGACGTGAATGCCCCAAGGCCCTTGCTCCACTGTCTCCTCCACTCCTCCCAGAAAAGAAGGGAGCTTGGTGCAAGTGCGACATCCAACAGGGCCACCACCTCGCAGACAAGGCTCAGTGTCTCCTCTCCTGCTTGCTTACCCAAGCCAGTGAGCTTCAAACTCCAATGTGTACGTCAACCACTAGGGGCCCTTGTTAAAATGGAGAGTCTGATTCGGCAGCTGAAGGGGCGAGGGGTGGCGCGGCAGAGATTTCATAGCACTAACAAGGTCCCAGGTGATACCTGGTCCCTGGATTACACTCAGCATAGCCAGGCCTGGTCATCTAGCTCAGGGGCCTGCAAACCTTCCCGAGCAGGGCCAAATAAGAAAATACGTTAAGGTCTGTTGCCTCGTGACCTTTATCATAGCTACTCAATTAGCCTTGGCAGCCCCAAAGCAGCTACAGAAAGCATGGAAATGGGCCTGCATCGCTGTGAGTACTAATGAACACTGAGGCCTGAATTTCCATGTCATGACATACTATTTTTTCCCACTTTAAAATGTAAAAACCACTCTCAGCTTGAAGGTGAGACAAGCAGTAGTTCAGATGTGGCCCACCGGCTGTACGTGCCGACTCCTGACCTCATTCAGGAACAGCTCCTTCTTGTATGGTACCAGACCAAGCCTACCTCTCCAAGACTCCAGCAGGCCGCTGTCTTCCCTGCTCCAGTCTCTCCCCCTGGAGGGGTAAACGCAGTCAGCCCTCCGGGGCCAATGATCTTCATTTTACAAGGGAAGAAACAGACAGCGCTTTTTGGTTTCAGGTCTAATCCAGGTCTCTGGATGACCCCATTCTCAGTGTAGTGAAGTGGGTGTTCTGACCCCCTTTGAATTCCCTGTGCCTAGTGTTAGCCAACAGGACCTGGAGAGCAGGCAGGGTGTGCAGAAGCCCCAACCATCCAACACGACCCTGGAGTAAGCCCTTGGGTACCTGAACTCCCTCAGCAAAAGTCTGACATGTTCAGAGAAGGGGGAAAAATGCCCTAAAAATCATGCATATTGGGAGCTCTGGTGGCATATAGTGCCTAAGGCATTTGACTGCTAACCAGAAGGATGGCAGTTCAAACCCACCAGCCATTCCTTGGGAGGAAGACTGGGCAATCTACTTCCGTAGAGACACCACCTCAGAAACCCAAGGAGGGGTTGCTATTGGGTCGGATCTGACTCGATGGCAGTGATTTTTTTTTTTTTTTTTAAATATGTATTTTTTTATGTCCCCTGTGACCACAGTCCCCAGCTTGCAGGCCCAATGACCCACTCCCTCAAGGTACGTATTTGTGGCTAAAAGTTCTCCTAACTTTGCCTCTTGATATGTTTAAACTGCATGTGGGCACTTCTATACTAATACAAATAGCTATGTAGGAATATTATCTGGCAAAACTACGTATGTATGTATGGTCATCCATTTACCTATCTACACCCGATCTTCTGCCTGTCTATCCACACGCTCCCCCCCCCCATAGATGAGTGTCTGCTGTTACTGTAACACAGTATTGTGTATATTTGCTTTTATACACATTTTTGCCTTTATTGTCTGGATCTCACAGGCACCTCTCCGTATCTTCCTTTCCCTTAGTGATACTGTGCTGGTCACATGCCTTCCCTTCACCCATATCAAACCTGTCTCTTAATTATCCATCTATTTTTCCTCCCTTCCCTCCTAAATCTTTCTTGAAAAAACAGAATGGTCCAATTTAATCAACAGCCATCTACAGAGTATGAATAACTACACGAACATGAACATGTTTTTACGAAGCGAATCATGTAATAGTATTAAGATGAGTCTACCTCCCTGAAGAGCCTCTGCTTCTTTGTCCCCACTAACCGATCCAGAAATCATGTTCACATGATGGGTCTGCTGCGTCAGGTATTCCTGGAAATCTTTCACGAAGTCCAAGGGCTCTGGTTTCTTTTCACCCATCTTTGCTTCCTTTTGACGTTTACAGTTCGCTATACCTAGAAAAAACCTGAAATGATTTTACACTATTTAGGAAGCTCCAACACATATTAAAACAATGACAAAAACTATTACATGAAAGGTACTATACAAAGCAACAGAGAACATGATCCCTGCCCTTAAATACCTTAAAATCTTCCCTGTGAACCAAAGAAAACACGCATACAATTGTAAAACATTAAGTAATACATTTAATAATTTTAAAGAAATTGGGATTCAGACTTCATCCTAGAAAGCCAAAAAAAAAAAAAACAAACTCACTGCCGTTGAGTTGGACCCGACTCACAGCGACCCCTCCTTGGGTTTCTGAGGTGGTATCACTCCGGAAGTAGCTTGCCCCACCTTCCTTCCAAGGAGTGGCTGGGAGGTTTGAACTGCCAGCCTTCTGGTTAGCAGTCAGATGCCTTTGTTGTTGTTGTTGTTGTTGTTACATTCCGTCAAGTCGGACCTGATTCATAGCGACCCCTCCTTGGGTTTCCGAGGCAGTATCACTATGGAAGTACGACTGCCCAACCTTCCTTCCGAGGAGTGGCTGGTGGGTTTGAACCGCTAGCCTTCTGGTTAGCAGTCAAGTGCCTTAGGCACTATGCTACAAGAGCTCCTGTCAGATGCCTTAAACTTACATAGACAGAAAAAAGTCCAGATGGAAGTGACTCTTCCAATTTACACTTCCACCAACAATGAACCAGAGTTCTATTGCTGCACATCCCTATCAACACTTGGGTTTGTCTTTTTCATTTTATTCATTTGGTGGGTGTGTGGTGGTATCATACTGGCTTTAATCTATACTCCTTAAAGATTAGTGAAGTTCTATACCTTTTCATACGTTAATTAGTGAAGTGTTTAACCCATTGTTCTACTGGGCTGTCCCTTACTTATGGAGAAGTTCTTTATAACATTCTGGATGAGTCTTTATCAGGCACATGTATAACAAGTTACCTTCTCCCACTCCGTGGCTGCCTTTTCACTTTATTAAATGTAATTTTTTGAGACGTTCTTAATTTTAACATGGTCTAATTTATCCTTTCTTTTCCCCCTTACACTCAGGGTTGTTTCTGTTCTGCTGCATTAATGCAGCCAACGTCAGGCTAATGTCCAAAACTTGAAGATAATTCTCATCCCCGCTTTCCCAGTTCTCCATCTGACACCAGCCCCACATGGCATGTTCTCTCTCTCTGACCCTTACCACCCAGAGTTAGGCCACACCTCATCCCAAGTACCCTGAGTGGAGTCAGGTTCTCGGGGAGCAGTCACAGACTCAGGAGTTTGCACAACTTGCTGCACTTCAGGCCAGGCATTCTCTCTGCCTTTTTCTCTCATCCCCTGCGTTGAGCTCACAAGCTTATTGTTGTTGTTGTTGTTATATGCCGCCGCCGAGTCAACCCCGACTCACAGCGACCCCTCCCTGGGTTGCTGAGGCAGTATCACTATGGAAGTAGATTGCCCAGCCTTCCTTCCGGGGAGTGGCTGGGGCGTCACAAGCTAGAAGGACTCAATCCTTCTTCAGCCTATGATCAAGCTACACCCAGAGCTGTACTGCCAGCCTCTGCTGGCTTATTGCCCCCGTGGATTCGATATTTCACCAGAATGACTCACAAAATGCACGGAGATGATTTCCTCCACGTACAGTCACCCATTTACTAAACTAGAAAGGATACGATAAAGAGACAATCAGGCAAGGCCTAAGAGAGGTCCCAGCGAGGCTTCCACTGTCCCCAGGGACATGCCACACACTTTACCTATACAAATATTCTCACCAGTCCCAGAGGCCTCAGAGAGAGAGTTCCCAAGGTCAAAAGTCTCCTAGTCATTGGGACTTCAATCAACAGTATGGCTGGAGCCTTAATGCACAGCTGTAATTGATCCCATCAATTGATAGACATGATTCCACCACACCCCATCCCTTCCTGAGGACTGTGGCCAGCATGGGGCCCATGTTACACCCTACTTATTTACATTTACACAGTGGTTAAGCACATGACTGCAAACCACAGACCTGGATTCCAACCCACCAGCTGCTCCAAGGGAGAAAGATATGGCAATCTGCTTCCATAAAGATTACAGCCTTGGGAACCCCATGAGACAGTTCTACTCTGTCCTACAGGGTCACTATGCGTCAGAATCAACTCAACAGCAATGGGTTTAGGTTTTGATTTTTTAAGTTTGACCTGACTATTTTAAAAAGGCACACAGCACCTAATTGCTCTGTTTTTTCAAAAACCAGAGACAAAAAGCCAAACTTAGTTTTCAGTCCCATACCTATAAAAGAAACCTTGCCTACTTCTTACTTGCAGATATTCTTTTAAAAGCAATTAAAAAAAAAAAAAAACACCTTTCATATTTTAACCTATAATCTATCTGGAATTGAGTTTTATATATGGTGTGAGGTAAGAGTCAAAATAAACATTTCCCCAAGAAGATATCCAATTGTCCCAGCAACATGCATTTAATAGACCAGCCTTTCTCCAGTTGTTATGTTGTTAGGTGCCGTCAAGTAAGCCAACTCATAGCACCCCGTGTACAACAGAACAAAACACTGCCGGGTCGGTCCTGCACCACTCACAGGTGTTGCTATGTCTGTGCCCACTGTTGCAGCTACTATGTCAGTCTGTCTCGTTGAGGGTCTTGCTCTTTCTTGCTGACCCTCTACTTTACCATGATGTCCTTCTCCAGGAACTGTCCCCTCCTGACAACATGTCCAAATAAGTGAGATGAGTCTCACCATCCTCCCTTCTCTGTAGCACCCTGGCTGGACTTCCTCCAAGGCAGATTTGTTCATTCTTCTGGCCGTCTACGGTATATCCAACATTCTTCACCAACACCATAATTCAAAGGCATCAATTCTTCTTCAGTCTTCCTTATTCACTGTCCAGCTTTCCCATGCATATGAGGTGATTAAAAACACCATGGCTTGGGTCAGGTGCACTTTAGTCCTCAAAGTGACATCTTTGCTTTTTATCACTTTCAAGGGATCTTTTGCAGCAGATTTGCCCAATGCAATATGTTATTTGATTGCTTGACTACTGGTTCCATGGGCGTTGATTGTAGATCCGAGTAAAATGAAATCCTTGACAACTTCAATATATTCTCTGTGTACAATACCGCTTACTGGTCCAGTTGTGAGGATTTTTATGTTGAATATAATCCATACTGAAGGCCATAGTCTTTGATCTCCATCGATAAGAGTTTCAAGTCTTCTTGGTTTTCAGTGAGTATATGTCATCTATATACTGCAGGGTGTTAATAAGTCTTTCTCTAATCCAGATGCCAAGTTCTTCTATAATCCAGCTTCTTGGATTATTTACTCACCATACAGATTGAATAAGTATGGAGAAAGGAGAAAACTCTGACACACATTTTTCCTGATTTTGAACCATGCAGCATTCCCTTGTTCTGTTTGAACACATGTTTCTTAGTCTATATACAGGTTCCACATGAGCACAATTGTACTGGAATTCCCATTCTTTGCAATGTTATCCATAATTTGTTATGATCCACATGGTCAAATGTCATTGCATAATCAATGAAACACAGATAAACATCTTCCTGGTATTCTCTGCTTTTAGCCAAGATCCATCTGACATCAGCAATGATATCCCTGGTTCCATGTTCTCTTCTGAATACGGCTTGAATTTTTGGCAGTTCCCTGTCAAGGTACTGCTATAAAGATTTTTTAATTATCTTCAATAAAATTTTACCTGCATGTGATATTAATGATACTGTTTGATAATTTCCGTATCATGTCAGATCACCTGTCTTTGGAACGGACACAAATATGGATCTCTTTCAAAGTCAGCTGGCCAGGTAGCGGTCTTACAAATTTCTCGGCATAGACAAGTGAGCCCTTCCAGAATTGCATCAGTTTGCTGAACATCTCAGTTGGTATTCTGTCAGTTCCTGGAGCCTTGTTTTTCACTAATGCATTCTGGGCAGCTTGGACTTTTTCCTTCAATACAATTGGTTCTTGATCATATTCTATCTCCTGAAATGGTTGAATGTCGATCATTTCTTTTTGGTACAATGACTCTGCATTCCTTTTTTTTTTTTTTTTGATGATGATGATTTTTGTGTTGTTCAAGATTTTGCCCATAGAATCCTTCCATATTGCAACTTGAGGCTTGAATTTTTTCTTCAGTTCTTTCAGCTTGAGAAATACTGAGCATGTTCTCTTCCCTTTTGGTTTTCTAACTCCAAGTCTTTGCACATTTCATTATAATACTTTACCTTATCTTCTCAAAGTGCCCTTTGAAATCTGTTTGGCTCTTTTACTTCATCCTTTTGCTTTAGTTATTTGCCATTCAAGAGCAAGTTTCAGAGTCTCTTCTGACATCCATTTTGGTCTTTCTTTTTAACGATCTTTTGCTTTCTTCATGATAATGATGTCCTCTCACAACTCGTCTGGTTTTAGTCACCAGTGTTCAATGTATCAATCCTTGAGATGGTCTCCAAATTCAGGGGGGACATCCTCACAGCCGTACTTTGGCTCTTGTGGACTTGTTTTAATCTTCATTTGCTTCAACTTTCATACCAGAAACTGATGGTCTGTTAAGCAGTTGGCCCCTGACCTTATTCTGCCTGATGACATTCAGCGTCTCCATCGTCTCTTTCCACTTATGTAGTTGATTTGATTTCTACATATTCTATGTGGTGAGGTCTATATTTATAGTCCTGTTTATGCTGTTGAAAAAAGTTATTTCCAACAATAATTCATTAGTTTTGCAAGATTCTATCATGCAATCTCCAGCATCATTTCTATCACCAAGGTCGTATTTTTGAACTACAGATCCTGCTCATTTGTTTCCACCATTCATGTTCCAATCACTAGTAATGATCAATGAATCCAGTATCACATTTGTCCTAAATCAGGTAATTATATGTATGTGGACTTATTTCTTGGTCTCTATTCTGTTCCACTGGTCTATTTGTCTATCCTCACACCAACACCACACAGTCTAAATTATATC